TCTCGCGTTCACCGCATGCTCGTTGCGAACATATACGGCAGTTCTAAAATGGAGCGTGGGATACTCTGGCTAATTGCACGACATCTGATATGCGAGCCGCGCGTACAATGTCAAGCACACAAATATAAGCGGTCATAATCGCGTGAATGACCGAAAGACATTCCGTCAGTTGATCCCAGGTCTTGAAGGAAAGAACAAGAAGATTGTGCCCGCGCGCTCTGAGAATTACCTCGTTTTCCTGATTGGCGCAGACGGATTGGTCGCGCACTTCTAGACGCAGGTCAGCGTTGTGTGTCATTGGGTTGAGACACGCTAGGGCTACCTGTGAATGGTATAACGAGCGAGTAGCTTTCAAGGGGTTCTGCCTTACGGGAGTATAAAGCTCTAGCGGACAGAGGTGCCGTTCATTTCTTTATATCCTCATGGCGTAAAGGACACGGGTTGCTTGCACTGCCGGCTGCGCAATAAGTTACAACATGCCAACTGAAATGGGATAACTCTTGGGCCACCAGCTGCCGAATCGCGAAAGGTGGAGTGTCCTTTGCGTTTGAGAAACGTCACACACACGACGCACGCCACGCTCACGCACGCTACGCACACGCACACACACACACACACACCACACAACACACACACACACACACAACACACGCACACACATAACACAAAACACATACATATTTTGTTTATTTATTGTATATCATAGTGCCCTTGCTCATTATAGCTCTCTCTACGAAGCTATTTCGGCGAGAGATTCTGTACGGGATATGCCAGGTGAGAATTATTTATTTACTACATTACGTTTTTAACGGAGCTTGGTTAATTCTTTCTCTGTCCAGTGATAAGCTTTCGAAGCCAACTGATGGAGAAGCGATGATGGTGCGAGAATCATGCGTCGCAGGACTTGATAAGCCTGCTTTTACTCGATCCATGCGCATTCAGGTCAGGGAGACTATCACAAGGCTGGGAAGGCGTGAACATTTCTCTTCGAACTGACCGTGAAATATATCCGCGAACAAACAAAATCACTGGTAGAATATGACCACTATAGCGGTAATGTTGCGTACTAGCAGTCTTTAATTTGGACAGGTTCTTATCGTAGCTTTTATTAAATTGTTGACGTTTTTTCAGCATTGAGAAAAAGCTGAATGAGGATCGAGCTTCATCTCTCCCCCCCCCTCTCTCTCTCTCTTTCTCTCCTCCCTCTCTCTCTCTCTCTCTCTCTCTCTCTGTCCGCCTCTCATCTCCCTCCTCACCTACTCTCCCTCTTCCTCTCTCTCTCTCTCCTCCCGCCCCCTCTCTCTCGCTTCTCTCTCTCTCTCTCTCTTCTCTCTCTCTCTTCTCTTTCTCTCTCTCTCTCTCTTCTCTCCCTGTCCGCTCCCATGTTATCCTTACATCTCCTCTTCCTTCTCTTCCCTTCCTCTCTCTCTCTCTCTCTCTCTTCTCTCTCTATCTCCTTTCCTCCTTTCTCCTTTTCCTCTCGCTCTCTCACTCTCGCCTTCTTCTCTCTCCTTCTCTTCTCCCTCTCTGCTCTCTCTCTCTCTTGTCCTCTCTCCTTCTCTCCCTCTCTCTCTCTCTCTCTCTCTCTCTCTCGTCTCCCTTTCTCTCTCTCTACTATAGTATATATCTCTCTCTCTCTCTTGTCCCCTCCCATCTCTCCTACATTCCCTGCTTCCTCTGTAGTCTCTAGCTCGCTTCCCTCCTCTCCTTCCCTCTCGCTCTCTCACTCTCTTCTCGCTCTCTCACTCTCTCTCGCGCTCTCTCTGTCCCTCTTTCCTCTCTCTCTGTCCCTCTCTCCCCCCTCTCTGTCCCTCTTCTCTCTCTCTCTGTCCCTCTCTCTCTATATATATATATCTCTCTCTCCCTGTCCCCTCCCATCTCTCCTACATCTCCCTCTTCCTCTCTCTCACTTCCTCTCTCTATCTCCCTTCCTCCTTCTCCTTCCCTCTCGCTCTCCCTCCCTCTCTCTCTCTCTCTCCCTGTCCCCTCCCATCTCCTACATCTCCCTCTTCCTCTCTCTCTCTCTCTCTCTCTCGCTCTCTCTCACTCTGTCTCTATCACCCCCCACCCTCTCTCACTCTATGTATTTCTTGCGTTTCGAGTTGTAAGTGACATTTGGCCTTTTTCGTTTCCAGATTCTGCTCAGTACAGGGCCGGATTCCATCAATGTGCCTCGCATATCGGGCGCTACAGCGGAGTTAGCCCGTCAGTGAGGGCTCGACTCGCTAAACACCTGCGCAGATCGCACGCCACCTCCACCCAGGCCACCGCCAACGACGGCAAATCTGACGTCGACCGCGAGGGGGCGCCCGTCGAGGAAATGAAAGAAGAGCTGCGATCGCCTGCAGCGAGCCCCGTTGCCATGGACACGACGCGCGAGACGAACGCCACGCCTCCTAGCGAGCTGGGTAGCGTGTCGTCGACTCACGTCAACATTACGTCAAGTCCGCGAGTAGTCTCCTGCGAGGACCACGGCGAAGTGCCGCTGAAGGAATACACGTGGCGGGAGCAGGCCGGACGTGACGGTGTCGCAGCTACGCGGCTAGAGAGCGGAGAAGTCGTGCTCGTCTTCCCTACCGAAGCGGGATCGCGACACAACATGCTTTTCAACTCTGGGCTGGCGACTCCGCCCAGCACGCCTCCCAGCTCGCCCGACCACAGGACCAATGAGCAGGGTAGCATGGTCTTTGCGAACGTCGAGTCAGTATACGCTGGCCAGAGCGTTTGGCGCCCGTGGTAGAGTGCGCCAATGTGCGTGTGTATGACGCCGGGGCGTACTGCGCTGCCTTGCTCCCCTTCGCTTAATTACTACCATCTCGGCGAAAAAACATCCAGGGACATTTAGCACGCGAAAACACTATATAGATTATACATTATAGTATATATTAAATTAGTATATATATATATATATACTAACTGTACATTTCTACGCGCGAAGTAGTGTGGCAGTGCTTAGTTCATCCGGAAACTAAGCCGTGTGTGTGCGTTTTGTGTCATTGTATTGTGTTTCTCAAACACCAAAGATATGTGCGTACACCATCATGTTGTAATCGCGCGCTACATTTAATAGAAACGTGTAATAGTAGAAATCGACGTTCATCCTAAATGAGAACCATGTAAAGATATAAATGTATATAATAGTATTTTTATAATATTCTGTATATTTGATCGTAAAATAAACCGTAACTTTTTAAATTGAATTACATTGGATTCTATTCGCATGAATTTTTGCAGTTCACAAGCTTTTTTTCGCTTATAATGTTTTCTTTTTTTATTCTTAATTATTTTTCTTTTGTATATAATTACAAAAATATATAGAATACATATAAGACGTTTCGTACAATGTATATAACAAATAAGTAAGTAAATAGATAATAAGAAAATAAAAGTTGAGTGTCATAAACAAACGGGATTCTCACGATAACACGAGAGATGTTTTAAACACCATTACTACACAGGAAATGGAGAGTAAATATAGGTAAGACCTTACCCTCTTTTACACACATTCCATCGTTTCATTCCACGGGCAGTAGGGCCTACGCTTATACAGTGTGCCTAAAACGTTCATACTAGTCTGATTCGATTGTTTCCTATTTATCACTAATTAACTAATAACTCAAGGTTAATATCAGGTGGCTTGTAAGCAAACAATTCTTATTAATAATATAAAAAATTTATTTCGTCTGGTTTCTTTAACGTGAGTAAAATTGTTCATCACGACTTTTTCTATATTTCTATGTATGCGCTTTCTTGATAATTGTACACATCACTATCAAAGAAGTCGACACACGTGCTTAGGCAGCAAAAAGAATGAGTGGTACAGGATGCGGGGAACATGAAACGAGAACATTCAAAGGCATTACAAGCGACCATAATACCCATATTTCAATAACAATTTAACTTTAAGAACTCCCAAGCACACAGCCTTGCAGAAATACCGCATAAACTAACGATATTTCAGGTTTTATTTATAATTAAGCTCCGATAAAACGCAGAATAACTCCTCATAATTCCGTAATCTTTATTTACTGATGTTTGCAGTGAACTCCGATACAACGTAGCTTAAGAGGAGGGCAAAAATAGGATTTTCGGCTCAATTACCAATTTAACACAGAGTCTGGTGTGTTTGGTTATTGCTTTAATAACAGATTACGACATTAATAACAGCTTTCCACACTAGGGGATGGCTTTATGCTTTCTCGGCCCTCCCCCTCTGTCTTGTTTTCCTCTGTGGGAGGCTGCAAATGTCTGTAGCTGTGTGTGTGTTTGTCTGTAGCTGTGTGTCTAGCCTAAACAAACTTACCAGCGACAGGGGCGGGAATCGTACCGGCTAAGACGATTCGCGACAAAGCCATCTGATGGTGACAGATAGCGCGACAAAACAGCGCAAAACAAACAACGTTGTTCACATTAGCATAAGAATATTACGCGAGCCGACGCAAGAGGTCGCGCATTGTTACGCGCACAGACGTAAGAGTGTGCGCATTGTTACCGCAGACGATCGTAAAATTACGGCATCTTTACGGTAATGCGGGTTCCCAGCGCCGTTTACGACCCAGTCTCGCTCGTCTACGTACACCCTTCCTGGCAAACCAGCTATTAGCTCCCGACTTTCTCCTTCGAGGCAGCAATTACCTGCCTCGGTGTCTTTCTTCTCTCTTTCTTCTCCTTTGTTCAGGCGACGTAGCCGTTAATGGCGGCGCAGGCATGTCGCGCCGTCGCCACCCGTCTGTCGCATCCGTCGGCGATGGCGAACGATACGACGAAACTGGTGACATATTTTGATTGGAAATTTCGATGTTGTTCTCGGACTTGACACGCGGACGTGTGAAGGCAGGCACGTTACAGGCGGGTGACCCTATCTGAAACACTTGCGACACAATAAGCAATACAGCGCAGATGACACTCGTAGGCGACAATTGCAACCCGCATGACAAATTTTGCCGCGATCCCCAATTTTGATAAGTCCGCGTGACGTGGCCGTGTCTCAATAAATCAGTTAGGGAAATAGTGTACAGACTATTACCTAAACTACCAGAGGCGCGAACGCCCTTGTAAGACACATCTGGTGTCGCATATACAGTGACTGTTGGATGACCTTTGATGAGTGAAACGTCCCGACTATCGTATCAGGGGCATATTATAAGATAATACATTATAATATAAGATAATAGAAATATATATTTTAAGATTGGCAAATCATTTGAATGGGATTGAAACAATTTTGTCAAAATTAAATAAAACTTTAGCCACATACTTTCCTACTCGTCTATAAATACTTTAGAGGTATCGTAATATTTATTTAGAATTAGTGACTCCACGTCAGACAAACGCCATTATAGTGTATAGCATGAATATATATATATAGCTATACGTGTACTCTACATGATACTCTACTATGTACCTGAGCCTGAGTATATATGCTATCATTTGTATATATGATATCTTTGTATACCGCCAGCAACCATAATTATAATGTGACCAAACGCACTAATATATCACGCACCTGTTCGACAATATTGGAATAGTTGACATGATTTGACCAGGAGCGTATAGAATAATACAGCTATAGGGGAGAGATAGGTGGAAAGAGAGAGAGCGCGCGGTTTAGAAGACGAGCGTAACAGAAATAGAAGGAGAAGTAGATATATAGAGCAAAAGGCAGGGGCAGGGAGGGAAAGGAAGAGACCTGGGGGAGAGAGAACGAGAGAGGGAGAGATGGGATAGAGAGAGCGAGAGAAGGGGAGAGAACGAGAGAGGAGGCGGGAGAGAGAGAGAGAGGTTGAGAGAGAGAACGAAAGGTGGAGAGAGAGAACGAGAGAGCGAGAGTGAAAGAAATAAAGAGGTATAAAGAATAACAGAGAGATAGAGAGCGAGCGATTGAAGAATAGCACACAAATAAAGTAATTACAGAATTATGTATGCATGCGCGTTTTAAGCGCATGAATGGCCGCACGAATCAGCTCGCTCTCGTTCTGTCGCTTTCAGCAGCAGATAGCGATCATTCTAGCGGCTCCCTTTCAACACGCAGATGCAAATACAAGGCAGCGATTCTTGTTTTATCTTTTTGACTACATCTCCGGCCGTCGTGCGATGTCATTGTGAGAGGCTCGCTTCCCAGATCAACTCCGTAATGCAACTGCTTACGACGAGCCGTGTAGCTCTCTGTGATGTCCCGACCTTTTTGTGTGTACGAGATTTTCCGAGATGCAATTAGCTGCGCAGCTGCTGCAGCATTGTGCATATAGCTCACATGCGATGATATAGGGCCCTATATATACTAGCTAGGTTTTTGTTGATCTCATCCGTATCTGTATGAAAATTGCACAGCTTTTCTATCCGAGCGCAGGTGTGCGTGCTGTTATTAGTAAAAATAAGCAAAAAATATATAGGCGTGGAATACGAGTGCAACAAATGTGTGATACCCGAATTCACTCTATTGTTCAGCAATAAGTGGCCATCTTCAGTTTGCCCGCGTAGATTGAACGTCGCTTGTTGAGTGACACAAATATGTATGAAGAAGATTATTTGCTTTCACAGGGCTGCGTTACTGCCTGCTGTTATATTCATCGAGACTGTATATAATAACCCAGACAGCGTGCATTCAGCCTATCATTGACATGTAGCAAAAATATGCAATGCTGCGATTTTCACTATAGTCGTCAACCCATCTATGCAACATAGCTATAATACAATACATACACTACACTCGTGTAGTTAACCGACAAGATTGGTTAAAGGGACCGCAGTTAAATTATTTCTACCGCGGTTAAAATAAATGTAACAACGCCTCTGATTGGGGTAAAAATGACATAATTTAACCGCTGTTGGATTATATTTACCGCGGTCAAAATGATTTTTCCGCGGTTAAATTATGTATATCAAGGCCTCTGATTGGGTAAAAGGGCTATATTTTAACCGCTGTTAAATTATATTTACCGCGGTAATAATATATATTATTATATATATATAAATATGTAAAAGGGCTATATTTTAACCGCGGTTAAATTATATTTACCGCGGTAATAATAATTATTTCTGTGTACGATGTTGCCACGTTGCCTTCGCCCCCGCGTCGGTATACATGGTTCAAATTGTTAGGTCGCTAAGAAAGACAAATTAATGCATTTAGAACTTCAAAACACAACTATAGCACATAGGAAGTAATAAGCCGAAATCCCTGAAACATGCTGTAACTGCTCTTAAATCTATAACCTAGCGTCTAGCATAGGCGCCATATTATATATATATATAACTACTAGCTGCGGGTACCCGCTGCGCTGGTAAAATCGTGCTACTAATTCATACTACTATACTAATAATGGGACACAGTAGGAACATTGGGTAACATGGACAATGACATTGCACCCAATATCAAATATTAGAAATCGGTCTAATAAGATAATAAGCATGGGGAAAAACTGTTACGTATGACATTTATATGACAGCACAACCCAACTTAGAACACCTGAGACATAAAAATTAATAGTAAATGGCTCATAGGGTCTATGTCCCCCAGGTATACCGGAACGTACCCTGGTGGCTATTTGATATGGTTAGGGTTAGGGTTGGGGTTAGGGAGTAGGCGTAGGCGACTCGCCTAGACTCGTTAGTGGATAGGCGAGGTACGGTCCGGCATATTAGGATAGTACCAGGGTACGTTCCGGTATACCCCACCGTACCCAGGGTACGTTCCCGCAGTATCCGGGGGGGGGGGGACACAGACCCTCTCAGCAGTAATATGGAGTAAATGACAAAAAGCTATTGTTATATAACAGCAATGTACGAATGGGTTGGACTTTTCGTTTCAAAGACTCTTGATAAACAATGTTTTTCGTGTTATTCTCTGGTGGAAATATGTAGAGATGCCTGGGGTATCCAACTGTTGAGCTCCCCACGTACAGCTATCCATTGTGAGATCGTACGCGGAATAAAAGAAATTCCATATATAGTATAGATAGAGACAGGCCAGCGAGTGGGGTCTGTGTCCACTGGATATTGTCTAGTGAATGCTTGGCAACCATGCACGACTTGAAATTAAGAAATTTTTGTATTGAATCAGAAAATGCATAGCTTTGGAATGGTACAATGCATTCTCAGATCGTAGCATCTGAACCGAAACTGTGAACTGAGAGTACCTCTGAACTGGTCGTGGTTATGCTCTGTTTTAGTTTCGATTTCCGTTTCGGTTTCACAATAC